TACCTGTGCTTCCACCCTCTGTAGGCTTCTTTTTTGTGTTTGAGTGTGTCCAGGAGCTCCTTGTTCATCCATGCAGGCCTCCCGGCTTTTTTGCCTGATCTCCTCTTTGTTGGGATGCATCGCTCCTGAGCTTGGAGGAGGTGATCGTTGAATATTAACCAGCTTGAATATTGATCCTTGAATATAACCAGCTTTCTTCCCTCCAGGGCTTTATCCCATGGCACTCTACCAAGCAGATCCCTGAAAAGGCTAAAGTCTGCTCTCCTGAAGTCCAGCTGTGCACCCTCCTCGGTGCCCTAAGGATCTTGAACTCCACCAATTCATGGTCACTGCAGCCAAGGCTGCCCTTGACCTTCACATTCTCCACCAGCCCCTCCTTGTTGGTGAGAACAAGATCCAGCATAGCACCTCTCCTTGTTGGCTCAGACACTTCTGAAAGGCACCCCAGCATGTTGACTTCCTAGAAAGGGTTTGGGGATTTCTCTATAATGGTGCCTTGTAGGCACTTCCTTGCTTACATGCAAGTGCTGGAGGTGACCCTGTCTAAGCCCTATTTTGATTTTGTGATCACTTCCCGTCACACCACCCCATGCCTTTTGCTCAGCAAACCTGTCCGTCATGCCCTCACTCTCTCCCTCCTCTGTCATTCTTGGTTTAAAGCTCTCCTAACAAGGTCAGCCATCCTATTGGCAAAAATAGCTTTGCCCCACTTTAGTGAGGTGGATCCCACCTCTCCCAAGCAGACGCTGATCTGCAAACAGAGTCCCATGGTCATAGAACCCAAAACCCTGTTGCCAACACCAGTTCTGCAGCTAATTATTGACTTGTCCTATTAGTGCCCTCCTCCTCACTCCCCTTCCCCCCACCAACAGGACTGGGACCACTACCTAGGTCCCCATGCCCGTGACTACTGCCCCCAGAGCTCTGTAGTCACTTTTGTTATTGTCCACGTTTCCCCTGGCAGTATCATTTGTGCCCACATGAAGTAATAGCAGGGGGTTGTAGTCAGAGGGCCGGACGAGCTTCAGTAGTTCCTCCAGAACATCCCAGATCCTGGCCCCCAGAAGGCAGCAAACCTCTCTAGATGATTGGTTGGGTTGCCAGATGGGTGCCTCTGTCCTCTGCAGCAGGGAGTCACCCATTACAATGACTCGCCATTTATTCCTGGTAAGTCTTGCATGGTTTAGGGTTAGGTGGACCAGGTTCTTTGCTTGAATACACATCTTCAAATTTGAGGGCAGTGAACCTATTTTGCAGTTGTAAGCTCTTAGGTGGGGCAGGAACCTTCCTCTTGGTGCCAGAAGTCACCAGCTTCCATCCTTCCCCTTCTCCAGAGGTTTTGCTTACCTTGATAGTGCGAGGCAGTCACTGCCTGCTTCCCTGTTGCAGGTGGGGTCTGAGGCTCTTCAAGCTGTTAAGTCTCAGAGAAGATCCTGTCTACCTCCCTTTCATCTTTGATGTGGTGCAGCCTGCTCACTTCCTCCTGTAACTCCTCCATTTGGCAGCACAGCTTCTCCAAGACAGCACACCTCCTGAAGGACAGAGGGCCATCTCTCCTGGCCCCAGAGAGAGGTCCCAGGCACCCCCTGCAACCTGGGGCTTGGAGGGCTGCATCAGCCATCTGAAGCTCAGTCTGTGTGGAAGCTGTATTGGGTTTGCATGGCAAGGTTTTGGTAGCAGGGGGCTACAGGAGTGGCTTCTGTGAGAAGCTGCTAGAAGCTTCCCCCATGTCCAATAGAG